CTGCTGAAGGTGCAGGTGTGTTACAGAGCAGATCCTGTCACCAAGGCTAAAATGAGTTAAATCACCAAGGAGCACAGTGAAGGTCTTGCTCCCAACTCCCTGTGTGATGTGTCTGAATGCAGAGAGCAACACTCGCCACCACGTACGGACACATCGAATCCCCTGCTCCCCACAGGATGGCCTCCACTGTCTCACTGTGACGCCACCTTCAGGACAAACAGCAGATAACTCATCCACCTGTAATAAAGTGTGCAGCCTCTGGGGGGGGCGCTGACAGGAGTTTGAGCTTATACAAATTGAATAAAACCAGATTTTCCCTCTTTGTGCTTCAGACGCTCCCTTTTGTCTTCCTGTCTGTCACACTCTTTGATTACAGATGATCAATAAGACATTCCAGTGAACCTGGTCCGAGAAAACAGATCAGGGTCAGTCACCATGTTTCAAGTCAGCAGCTTTGTTTGTTTGGAAAGGAAGTCACTTCCTGTTGGTGGTTTTCAAGTACAACATCAAAATTTATCAGTAATTGGTCCACACGTGCTAGTATCACAATGCTAGCAGCTAGCCTACACAGACTAGCTCTACAGTTTTTACCCATAATTCCACAGGCCTGGCATCAGTGTGCTCGTCTGAGCCAAAGTACCGATAAAGCTCAGTGAACACAACTGGAGGGCGCCTCCGCCCCGCCTGCAGCCATCAGTAATGCATCCATCCTCAGCCTCTGACTGGCGGATTAGGCAGGCTGCGGGGGGATGCAGCCGACACCGACACCCCCCTCGTGGCAGACCATGGGGGTCATGAAAGTCCAGCGGTTGGTGTCAGGGTTATACATCTCCACAGAACTGAGGTTGGACTGTCCATCATACCCCCCTATGGCGTACAGGCGGCCTGATGTGGACACCAGAGACACTCTGCTGCGCCGCGTGTTCATGGCCACTAGGAGGCTCCACTGCCCTGACACTGAGCTGAACACTTCAGCCCCACTCAGAAAGCCTGACCCATCGTAACCCCCCGCTACATACATGTAGCTGCCCAGAGACGCTGCCCCGTGACGACAGCGCTTGTTCAACATGGGTGCCGCTGGGTGCCAACAGTTGGTGTGGTGGTTGTAGTACTCCACCTGTAGGGGGAGTGAGGGGATAGTAAAAGGCACAGACATGTATAAAGGGGTAAGCTGCAGGTAACCGTGGTAGTGTTCAGGGAAGTAGCAATGGACTCGTTCAGAGCTTTCATCTGCATTTCATTCATCAGTTCAGTCACTTTAATCTAAAACACTGAAACTTCTCTGGTATCTAACTGGTATCTGTGGTTTTCCATAACCACGCCCTCAAATTCTTCTCCCTGTAGATTAAAAATCGATCATGTAGAGGCTTTACGCAGCGGGATGAGTCATATCAATCAGCTGTACTGATCTGTGACAAGTGCTGAACTGGTCAGTTTGTGTTCAAGCCCATAGATCAAACTGACCGTGTTGAAGATCTGTAAACCGTCATGGCCGCCGGAGACAAAGATACGTCCATCAAACACCGTCACACCTGCAGCACTGCGACTTGCACTCATCTCCGTCACCACCGTCCACCTGGACAGGTAAATTAACCATCAGATGACTGTATGACGTTATCAACATATGAAGCAGGACGAACAGAGCGACAACATCACAGTCCCACTTCTACCTGAAAATGGTGTGACTTTTTTTGAAATTAAAGTAAAACACAAGGGGTGGTACATTTAAGGGGTTATTACCCCTTAAAAGGCCCCAAACTGTGGAGAAAATCCACAGATAAAAACCCTTTAACACGTTACAGTCCACTGCTGCATGTGTTGGTGTTACCTGTAGTTAACCACTGGCAACACTACGTGTTCTGATCCTGATTCTGAACCTGAACCTGAAGCTGTGAGGGCTGCTACTCACCTGTCGGTCTCTGGAGAGTAACACTCCACCGAGTTCAGGGATGATTTTCCATCGTAGCCGCCGCAAACGTAGATATGTCCATCAATCACGACCGTTCCCATGGCGCTGAGGACAACAACATGTCTTATTAGTCTTCTGTTGATGGTGATCAGTGTACTGATCAGGAACGATCAGTATTGGTAGGTATTGATCAGACCTGCGCTGGCTGATCATGCTAGACACAGGTGTCCAACTGTCTGTCTCAGGGTTGTAAACCTCCACCGTGCTGAGCCGTGATTGGCCATCGTATCCGCCCATAGCATACAGCAGCCCGTTAACGACGGCCACACCCACTCTGCTGCGAGCTGTCTTCATTGGCTGACAGCGCTCCCAGAAGTTCCCGATTGGATCAAACACTTCAACCACATTTAAGGAGTCACCTGGAAAAGAAAACACTGTGACTATGTCTGTCGGCTACACCCCGTGTGGACAGGTGGAGTTGTTTAGCTCAGGTAACAGAGAATCCACATTGACAGGTGAGTGGCATACCTGAGCTGTTGAGTCCTCCCACCGCATAGATGAGTCCTGTGATGGATGTGCAGCACCTCTGTCTGGTTTTGAAGGCGGGAAGGTGAGGACGACGCTCCGGCATCAGATGGAAATCTTTGGCTTCATCCACCAGATCTCTGACAGGAAACACAGACAGGTGACAGCTGTTCAGACAGACAGGTGAAGAGAACGACAGACAACTTACCTACTGTGTAAAAACAGTGGAGGGGTGCGGCCTCAGACTTAATTCATTCAACTGTGAACTTGGGCTACAACTGAAGAGGTATCTCTGATCCGCCCACTCTTAACCTGAGCAGCTAGAACACCTGAGGCAGTGTGCAGGGCTGTAAAGCAAAGCTGCTGAAAGAAGAGCAGCTGTCAGTTTGTTAAAGAGGTCGGCAGAGAAGCTTCATTGTGACACAGGTGTGCTTGTGCTCTGTCTCACCTGCATTTATGGCAACAGCGTACGAGTTCATCCTGCTGGACTCGGTCTGACAGGAATTGAGGTCGACACAGAGGAAGTCTGATCTTTGACAGGAGCTCGGGCAGAAACGACTCCCTCCTGTTCCGGTCATGATGAACCCAGGCCAGCACCGCCTCAAACACCTGCACGTAGTGATAGGGTTCAACAGAATTTTATCAAATCTGAATCCAATTCCAGATCCACTCGAATCTGATTAATAATTATTATAACAATACATTTAGTTATATAGCACTTTTCAAGGAACTCTAAGACATTTACAACTCCAAACAGTTGAGACAGCATGTAAAATCAAAATTAAAACTGAAAATAGTGACGTGTAACTCACAGCAACACAGCAGCACATTATTTGATGTGACACCTCATCAACTTTATTCTTGGTTCAAAATAAACACTTCAACCCTGATGCTGCAACACCATCACTGTGTATGTTTAATGGGTGTGTTTAAGAAAGAGGTGAAAGATGACGAGTGGTTGTGTTTTATCAGCTTAGAAATATTGTTTGTTGATATTTGTGACTTTGATGAAGATCAGATCACATTTCATGACCAATTTATGCAGAAAACCAGGAAACTGCAAACAGGAGCATGACTTTTACTTGTGACCGTAGTACTACAAGTACCACCACTCCACTACCACTACTACCAGATCATCTGTTCTGGGACATGGCTTTCCTACATTCTAAGAAGTGACTTCCTCTTTGATGGATTCAGGTGAGGCATCTCACCTGCTCCTCTGCTTTAACATTGAGTTCATCACAGCTGACCAGCTCTAGCACCTCCTCTGTCCTTAAGCCCAGAAACTCTTCTGATAACGAAACCTCCACAAAGTGCTGGTGCAGGAAGCTGCTGGCAGAGTCATACAAAGTCGTACACATCATGGTCTCTGCAAACTGACGGACGCCCAGACAGTTCTTCGGATGTAACCTAAACAAGACAGACCGAGAGCGAGACCGGGAGGCAGACAGACCAGGAGTGATTAGTGTTTCCAACTGATACATTTCATGATTTCATTTAATTAAAGTGACCCAAACATTGCGGATAACTGACATCAGGGACTATTTTAACCTCAATGAATAAAAAAATTTTTTTAAAGATGAGCATCAATTATTTCAATAATTAACCTAAACACAGAATTCCACTTACTGGACATTTTATTTCAAGTCAAGAATGAACATCCACATTCAACTGAGTATCAAAGTTTGTTCCTGATCTTGGGGGTCAGGATCATGTGATATGATCAAAAGCTCCAGAACAGCTACTGAGCTGACTTTGATATTCCGCCAGCTGCTGCTTATAAAGTCAGGAATAAACTTCAAAAGTCAATGAGGCATCCTTGAAGTACTCAGAAGAAAAGTAATACACAATTCAGTGTCACTGTGGGCAGACTACAACTGCAGAGGAAGCTCATGTGATTTGACTGCAAGCTGGGCAAATAAAGCTTCTTTCAAATTGAACATCTGCAATTCAGTGGCAAATGGGCAACTCCAACAGCAGCTGAAGATCATAGGATGTAGGTGAACTCTCCAGCACTGCCAATAAACTGACCTTGTATTGGGACTGTTCTGTCACAGATGACATCAAGCCCCACTGAATTCCCACATAGCTGTAAAATTTGGTGCTTTTTGTACCGAGTATGATTACATTTACAGCCTCGGCTCCAGATGCCTCACACCGGATTCAGTATTCCGTCACTTTTGGTATAATGGACCCACCTCTCCTGCAGGAAAGAGCAGCAGGCATCTTTCACGTTCTGCAGCTGCAGGAAACTTGAGCCAATCAGAAGAGACTGAACGTTCTGCTGGTCGATAGCAACATGGCCGCTGTACGCGAAGTTTATCAGAGCCTCCAGAGCACTGCAGGTACAGAAATGTTACACTGGTTACACTGGTCTCAGACTGTTAAGTGGGCATCTATACTGGCCTGTGGTTACCTGGGGTCCATGCCCTGCATCAGGATCTCATCCTGTTTACACTCCATCATGTCGTTGGTGAACATGGCGTGAAAGTACGGGATGGAGGCCGCCAGCACAATCCGGTGAGCACTGAACTTATGATCCCCGGCCTACAGAAAGGACAGTAAGTGGTAATATTCAGTGTTCTCACCTGTAACTTTCAAAGCCTGGACTTTCAGACTCTGCCTCACTCTGACAAAAAAAAAAAAAAATTTAAAGTAATGTGCGTCTCCTTTTCTTCCACTTTAATAACTCACTCTGGCCATCACACAGCAACAGTCGATACACGTGTCTCCACATTAAGAGAGGTTCGGAGTGCAACTTACGCACACGCATCACAGCTTCTGAACTGTGGTTGTGAACCAGGACCCTTCCTCCTCTTGTCAACAGGCTGAGTTTATCTAAAGTCACATTATGATTAGAAAACTCTGGTGCTGTTTAAGGGTGTTGAACACAGCACAGACAGACTTCATCCCTTTTCTGTGTCCTGATGCTTTACTTTCCTCTATCCACTCACCCCAACTGGTCGAGGCAGAAGGCCGCCCCCTAAGAGCCGGGCTGTTGGAGGTTTCTTCTGATAAAGGGAGTTTTTCCTCCCCGCTGTCGCCAAGGCCTGCTCAGGGGGGATTTGTTGGGGTTTTCTTCAATAATAATCATGGATCTTACTATGTCAAGTGCCCTGAGTTGACTTTAGCAGTGATTTGGCGCTATACAAGAATTTTTTTAACTCTATCCCTCATGTGGTGTAAGAACGGAGGTCTGGTGGTCTTAATGTTTGAACTGATTTGGTCTAGACGGGGGTCTCATTCACCAACACTGGTTTTATTTATTCTTTTGTGTGCCCCAAATTATTTTCATCATCAATTAGTCTGCACAATAATCTCTCGATCAGTCAACTCACTGACCAGGACAACTGTGCAGTCCACCAGAGACTGCTGCTTCAGCAGGGCTCAGGTGTTTTCGGTGAGACGCAGGTCAAAGGTGAGCTTCCCCGTCTCTGCTGTCGCTAGCAGCCTGCGACGTCACTAACCTGTGTAAACTGGTAGCGTATTATAACAGTAATCCTCTGCTAGCATGTTGTTAGCACCGTTAGCTCGGTCA